GGGGAACTTCTGCCGGGCTTGCGGCACTGCCATAACAAAGCAAACGAGAATCGGGGCTCGGCTGGGCGCGCCAAAAGCTAACCCTATGCAATCTCCTCCTCAGGCTCGAAGCGTAAATGCCAAAGCCCAGGTTCACTCGGCGTACAAGGATATATTCAGCTTGGAGATCGTAGGCCCAGTCCTGCCTCACTCCCTGCACGCCCTGACCATGCTGCTCGCGCCGGCGCAGCGGGGAGCCTTCTCTGCCGCGTTGTACGCGCACGAGCCAACCGCTGTCTTCAACACCGCTCTTGACGGCACGAGCCCCGCCGCCAGTAAGGTGAGGACATGGGCGGAGACGGTCGTTCCTCCTTGGAACAGTGTCTTTGTTACAAACCATAGGCCGGCGAGTGACGCAAAACGTTCCCTTAATACGTGGGTTTATACCCAATCCCTTGTGATCGCCACCTGGCAGTCCCTGTGGCTTGTCATTCCCCTCCGAAAGGGAATAATGGGAAAACTAGCTTTGCGGGGAGTTGCCCGGAGGTACACAACTGGGTGCTAAAAACCGCGGGTATTTCATACAGGAACACCCAGCCCCCATCTCTCTTCTCCCTGTGCGTTCCCGCAGGAAACCATATGCCAAGACCTCCCTGCGTGTGGGCTGCATCCCAAGACTTTGGATCAGCTGAGTCAGTGCCCAACCTTGGGAAGATCTTCCATCCGCTTTCTGGAAATGAAGGATTATGCTTATACCTGGAAGTTGTAGCTACGCCAGCTGCACGGAGCGGAGGAGCACGCTCTCGGGTGCGGTTGCTGTGCTTCCCCGGCTGGGCGGCGGTGCCGGGAGGGACACAGTCGAGTTGAACGCTGCAGGCGGCAGCTCGTGCACCGTCGCCCCTCGGAAAACCCCTCAAAGGGCTTTCGAAGGAAGAGGCCTTGGACATCTCCTTTTGTAACTTTGGGAAACCTTTTTTAAATAAAACCTGGTAAAACGTGGTTTGCGGGTCTGAACTGCGCCTGGAAGGTCAGTCGTCTTCACTCGTGCGCGTTCTTTCTGCCGCCGCTCCGGGCAGTAGCTCCTGACTGGTTTGGACGGGTGGAACTCCTGGCAAAAGCCCTCCTGAGACACTGCTTAGGGCAGCCGGGTGGCCACACCTCCCTCTGCCGCACCTCTGGGTTGAGCAGCCGCCCCGAGTGCCGCCGCTGCATCGGCGGACGTGAGGACAGAGTTCTGGCTGCGGCGCAGCGGGGTTAAAAGGCGGAGGTTCCTCGGAGCTGCTTGGCATGGCCTGTTCCCACACCCCCTTGGGGTAACGCGAGCTGGGTTTCCACGAAGGCTCGTGGAGGCCTGTCGCAGTGTGCGCAGCGGTTGGGCGAGCAGAGCCCTGCTGCAGCGGCTGCTCCGCCCGGAGAGCTCGTGCTGTGCTGGTGTGCTTGGGCCCAAGTCCCTGCAGAGTGAGGCGTGAGGAAAGTGTCCTGGGCCTTCCACGTACTTCCTATGGACACCAACCTGACCCAATACCTCCCGGAATACAGCATGGATGCAGTTAGGCTGGAATGCTACGTTTACATGTGTTGCTTCACAGCAACTGTCAGGACGCAGTCGGCCTAGCGCTACGCTGATGCTGGTGTGCTTGGGCCCAAGTCCCTGCAGAGTGAGGCGTGAGGAAAGTGTCCTGGGCCTTCCACGTACTTCCTATGGACACCAACCTGACCCAATACCTCCCGGAATACAGCATGGATGCAGTTAGGCTGGAATGCTACGTTTACATGTGTTGCTTCACAGCAACTGTCAGGACGCAGTCGGCCTAGCGCTACGCTGAAGCAGACAGCAGCCAGAAAACCTGGATAAAAGGAAAGTCCCTTTCTTACGACGGAAAAAGGCGCCTTAGACCATGAAATACTTGGATGACGTCAGCAAGTACTCTGCTTCTGGTGGAGCTCAGGTACCACAACCCGGGTTGAATTCATCTCTACACCTTCCCCACTAATCCCGAAGCAAACTTCCCCCTTTGATCAGTATTGGGCTCGAGCACAGTGATGCACTGCTGGTGGCATCACGGGGAATACCAGGAGCCGGGGATTCCGAAGTGGCCGGTGAATTTTTGCCAGGAGTAACGCTCAATTCCGCCTTTTTTAGTCTGTAATCTGGCGCATCTCCCTCCATTGCTCACGGCCTCCATAGCTTCCCCCTCCGTCATGCAGGCGAGCCCTCCTAAAAGCTGCTCCTCGCCCCAGAGCCCACAGCCCCAGTCCCAGAACCGGGAGCACCTTCCCAGCGCGCGTCCCGGAACAGGGAGCCCGCTTACAGAGCGCGCCAGCGCACGGAACAAGGCACTGGAAGCAACAGCAAAAGCCAATAACCATCTTGCTGCCGTCTGTCTCTCGAAATACAGTAATTACTGGTGATTTCAGTTCTGCCCTCACATCTCGGCGCGCGAGTTTCGGAGAATCGGTTCGCACTGATTATCGGCTTGCGGTCCTTTAAAAAAGCTGGAGTGGCAGTTACGTTCTCATGGCCCCCAACTGCGGGGTTTCAGCCCCCCCAGCCTCTTCACCGCACGCTCTCCCCCGCTGCCGGCGCTGCAGCTCCTCCCTGGGCCGTAACCTGGCGCTCGGGGCTGTGCCGGTGGCCGCGGCGGCACACTGCAGGGCTCGCGGCTCTGGGACTCGGTGCCGTTCTTGAAGCGCTCTTGGCTCCAAGGAACCTTCCCAAGGAAAGCTGCAGCATTGCACGACCCGGCCTGCCGTTCTTCCAGTAAATCCCACCGTTATCCCAGCTGCCTGCAGAGCGCTACAGTTTATTTGTTCAGCCTGTCCCAACAGGTGACTTTTCCATCCCAACGACGAGTTGCTTGGGAGAGCCGGAGGCTGTGGCAGTCTATTCACACAGTTTTTGCCCTGTTTGAGGCAATTTTGACTTTTCCAGGGCAGAGAAACTTGACCTTCCCGCTCCTGTCCCACGAGTCACAGCACTGCTCAGTTTAAAAACTACAAATTACAGCACTGCCAAGGAATTTTCAGGTGGAAGCTGGCTACAAGCTCTTGGGTGCCCATTTCCGAACGCTCCCCCAGGGATGGCGGGAGCACTTTCAGGGAGACACGTTCTAGGAAAAGCGTTCTGCCGCAGCAGGAAATCCAACAGCCGCACAGCTCCCGTCAGCGGGAGTCACGGACTAGTCCCCTTCCAGCCAGCTGAAGCGCTGCGTCCGTGAGCAGCTTCCACACGCGCGCTCTCCCAGCTGTTCTTAACGCATCGCCGCCAGCCGTTCCTGCACGCAAAGGACGCTCGACCCGTTCACGTGTGCACGCTTACGAGAAGCCCGTCGCTGCGCTAGCTCGAGATTCGCGGATCGCTCCGCACAGCGAGGGATGAAACTAGAACGGAAACCTCAAAAAGTGTGAAGTGTTGGAGTTAGGAAGTTACAGACCTCGTTTCCTTACGACCAAAGGTTACACCCACACACGGCACCCCCTCCCTTACGGCCTGAAGCCCCGAGCCTGCCTCAACAGTAGCCAGACTTCGGCGAAGACGCGCACAACGCCCAGTCCTCCCCGAGCACGTTGTCCCACCGCTCTACCATCACACGTACTTTTCCATACACACCTTCCGACCAGCTCAGCAAGGAGACCTCCGAATATTTAGTCAGAGACTGAAGGCGAGAAGCCAAAGGGAAAAAAGTTTAATTAAACACAACTATGTCCATGAAAATTAAGATTAACTTAGGCATTTCTAGAGTGCTTTGACAGACTAATAAGGGGCTTTATTTCTGTGGGGGAAGAGCCAAACACCATTATTTCTAGGCTGTACACAACAGGAGACACTGTCCCTCGTCCCTTCAGGGCAGACAGACGCCCCGTTCCATAGCGGTTGGCAGAGCACACGCAAGTCCCCCTGCCCGGGAAGGAGAGGTACCAGGAACGGTGGTGCGCTCGAGGCCGCAGCACAGCCCTCCCGCGCGCACGCCGCCGCTCGCTCCTGTCCCAGGAGCCACTCTGGTCAGCAGACTCAGGCTTTCTCGCAGTCACCACCGAGTCTGGGAATGCTGGCACCCTGCTGGCAACGTAGGCAGATGGGGCAAGAGGGGCGCGATGCCCTTTCCAACGCAACGTGCAGTCGCTGAAGCACTAATACTTCTTAAATTTAAAAAGAAGAAAAAAGGAGGAAGAGCTTTCTACATCGTCTCCCTTGTCCAGCTGCTGTCTCCTTGAGGGCAGAGTACCCTCACAGAAAATTTAGGCCCAAGGAGTTAAATTTATTTGGTAATAGTCCAAAGCAACCAAAACTGGCAGAAGCTGCCTGCGCAACCCTAAGAGCTGGTGCCAGACCACAGGCAGCGCCCCTTCACGCTGCATGTCTCCTCCGGGAGTCGTCTGGGCATACGTTTTAATTACTGTTTACTGACCAGTGATTAAGATTATGAACTTGTGCTGCTTTATTGACCAAGTTGGGTACAACAATTTAAGCGTCGTTCTATCCCCTCCCTCCCCCCCCCGAATCCAGTTGTAGAACTGTTAAGAGTTTAAAATTCACATTAACCACAAATTCATACAATCAACATCAGGCAGTGTGTTAATTTGTTTGGAATAGACAACTCCATCGTCTCCCTTCTCAGGACATGCAGGGAGAGTCACCTTTACATCGCAAAGTCTCACGGGTTCCGCCATCCCTTTCAAAGTGGGTCTTTCGCCTAATCGCGTTACGTCCTAGAGTACGGGCCCTACGGCCAGTCGCAGCGCGCCACCGGCTTAACCTCCACCCT